GGAGCCCGCTGCCCACCTGGCACCCCGGGCAGAGCCCCTCCTTCCGACATCCCTCCGCCTCACTGCTGTGAGCTCCCTTCCCAGCCTCTCGCTTCAGCAAACGAGCGGAACAAGGGTCCTTCAGGCACCTTCTGCAAATCGTAATTAGAGGAAGAGCTCGAGGAGCAATTTCCTCACTGACGAGGAAGGGCCAAAATTTATTCGCCAGCGTTTTTTGCCTTTTTTTTCCCTTTATTTGTCACTTTTAGCTGTTTATTATTATTTTAAATCAATCAGTCGGCGCTTTCTCCCCTCTGACAAGGGCCCCAGCAGGAGAGCCGGGTGCAGATTTATTGCAAGCCAGCGCGCCGCGTGAGAGAAAGGTCAAGTTAATTTACTCTGCGATGAGGAGACCGGGGTCTCATTTACACAGCAGCTTACTCACAGCTGGTGAATGCCAGGCTGGGGAAGGGCTGCCAGCAGCCCACCCAGCCGGTCCCTCCAGCTCCAGCCGTGGCTGATGTCACCCTTCCCGCGGTGCAGCAGGCAGAGCCGCCCGAGACAGAGCGCTGCCTGCCGCCACGCACCTCTAAAATGGCCTTTGGCCATCGGTTTGCCTGCTCATTAAACTCTGCCGATCACCAAGCTGGTGATGCTCTCGGCGTCCCTGCCCATCACACCCATCCCTGTCCGTCAGGACATCGCCAGTGCCGCGGCGATGACACGAGCTCAGGACAAGTCTCCTTGGCCTCACATGGTCGCCTCCCAAAAGCAGGAGAGCCTTGCACTCACCGCACGGTCCCTTGCTGATGACTTTGATCCGTCTCTGTTGGTTGCACTGGGCCTTCTCCAGCTCACACTCGTTGCTGTAGGTGGAATAATCGGAGCCGCAGACAGGAGCCACCACGACGGGGCAAGACGTCTTCTTGCAGACGCAGGAGGCCTGCGAGGGGTCGGCGGAGCTCCTCTCGCACACCGCCCCGAACCCGCACAGCATCCCTCGACACGCTGTGGGCACAGACACGGAGACGCGGGTGAGCCACGCTGCTCCTCTGCCAAGAGGAGGGCTGCAGACCAGCGCCGGGTCCAGGCACCCACCCGTGCCTCCCGTCCCTCCCCGCGCAGAGCTGCTGGCAGCACCCAGGCAGGGGGAGGGGCTGCAGCCCGACGGGGGACGAGGACTGCGAGGGCAGGATGCTCCAGGCACAGCAAGGTCACAGAATGGTGGGGGCTGGAAGGGACCTCTGGGGTCACCCAGTCCCGCCCCCTGCCCAAGCAG